TATAAGAAAACTTTCATAACTTTTTAGATAATTTCTTCATTTTGAAATTAATTTTCTCATCAAATTATCTGATGCTGAAGACAATCTAGATTTGAATTGAGTAATCAATATGAGTTATAATCCGTAGACTAGATTTGAATTGAGTAATCAATATGAGTAATAATCCGTATACCTAGATCTAGTATTCTTGTTTAGGTTGATGAGAAAATTAATTCCAGAATGATTTATCTTGTAGTCCACTAGTCCTTATTTGAGTAATAATCCGTATACTTAGATCTAGTATTCTTGTTAGTTGAACATAATTTTGTCTCTCGCCTCTCCTCTTTTCTTCTCTCTTCCTCTCCTCTATGGGTTTTTCCAAAATCTTAGTCGTTTAGGCCGGAAATCTATTTTCGACCCTTTTCGCTTAATTTTCTTTAGTTTTGCAATTTAGATTTCAATAAATCTACATGAGTAGTGTAGATTTTCGTTCGTCTCCCTATGGTGGAGTGTCTTCCTGTGGTGGAGTCGTTAGTTTTTGTTAGTTTAATTGTTTGTTTTAGGGTTTGTTTGTGTGTTAGGGTTTATCAAAAAGTAATCATATTTTGCCTATTGTCAGTTTATTGGTAAAGATTTGTTCGGGATCGCAACGGTTGTCAAGTTTTCAAATGCGTTCAAACGAATCAGATGAAAATTATCCTTATGACTACAACAAATCGTTAGACCGTCTTTCCGAAAAGGCTGTATATTCCAGCGATGTGTGCGAGAGATGTACCACAGTGCAAGATCTTTTCAACGATCGTAGCTTTGATGAAGGAAACCCTAATTTGATTCAATTTTATGTATTTGTTAATTTAGATTTCATTTGTAGATGTCGGACGACTTTTTATTAATGAATTGATTTGTTTCAAAAAAAAAAAAAAAGATCTAGTATTCTTGTTTAAGTTGATGAGAAATTTAATTCCAACATGATTTATCTCGTAGTCCACTAGTCCTTATTGAAATCGCATTTAATACAAATCAGGCAAATTGATAGAGTTAATTGGTCTTATTTGGTAAAAAGCATTTCGCTTATTAAGCCCTATTAGATGTTTGAGCAATTAAAAAAAGTTATTTTGGGTGTTTGGTACATATTTTATAAAAAGTGCTTTTAGGCTCAAAAAGCTCTTTTAGAAAAAGCTCATTATAAGAGATTTTTGAAATTTGCTTATTGAACAATTAGTTTTTTTTGCTATTAAATACACTAAGAGCATGTTTGGTATGGGCTTTTTATGGGGTTAGTAACGGAATCGGGTTACCGTTTCCGTTAGAAGATGTTTGGTTAAAGAGTTAAGTAATAGAAACCGTTTCCTTCCTCTAACCCATTCCATTACTTTGTTTCCACTGTAAAACTTGGGGAAACAAATCCCGTTTCTTTCCTCTATCTATTCTCTCTCCTCTCATACAACAGATCTCCCCACAATCCTCAACTTTGATCGATCGAAGCCACAAATTCGCTGAAGAATTCTAAATTTCGTACTTCAAATTTCCAGAAATCAACAAACTCAAGGTTTGATCTCTCACTTTTTTGTTGAAGAACCCTAGTTTTTGAGTTGTGTTGAATTTATAAAAATTTTGTCTTATTGATTGCGTTTTGATTTTTCTACTGTATATTGAAAGATTGCTATTTAATTTGATTTGCGATCTATATTTTTTCTTTGTGTTGATTGCTATTTTCGATTTATGGTGTTAATTAATTTCTAGGGTTTTCTATCCTAATTTTTCAGTTTTATTTGAGTTTTATTTTCTCCTGTTTTTTGCTTCATGACATTATTGCTAACATGATATCAATTTCGATTTTATGAAATAATACTTACTGATGTTTTGTCATGCAAATTTCGATTTTATGCTATTATAATTTGCTATTATTATTTGGCTTCTTTTCCCCCAAATTTCGATTTTATGCTTAATAGTAATACTTACTGATGTTTTGATCTGCAAATCAGCTTTGTTTAGCAAATGTCAATGGTAAATAATCAGCTTTGTTTAGCGAAAATCAATGTTTTGAGGCGGATTGTTAATGTTGTTTGATTGCTATTGCTATTGCTTTGCTGGTTTTTAAGGCATACTGGGTCTCTAATTCTTGTTACTTGATTGCTATTGTTTTGCTTATGGACAAATCGACAACCCATAAGTGCCGAGGAATTCTACTATTCCCCTGTTGTTGCCCCTCCCCCCTTCTGCTATTCCCCTACTGCTTCCCCCTTCCCCCTTCTGCTATTCCCCTGATGCTGCCCCTCCCCCCTACTGCTATTACCAATTTTAGGTGAACTAGTCCTAATCTACATTCTATCTCGTGTTTAATTGGTTGCAGTTCAAATTCGTGTTTAATTCTTTGCTACAATTGATTGGTTGTTCTTTTGACAGATTATTGATCAAGAGATTGATAAGCAACCATTGAGTGTCGAGAGTGATGAAGAAGATGATGTGAATTCTACTAATTCGGACACTTATTCTTCTACAAGTCAATCCGGAAAACGCCCCGTGAAGATAGAGGATGATCATATAACTCCTTCAAAAATGGCAAAACGCTCTATAAAGGCAAAGGAGGTTAAGGTGAAAGGAAAGAACAAGGTAAATTTGAAGAGTTTGTGTAGGAATGATGATGATGATTTGGTGGCCTCTCTCCATGATGTTTCCAACAATTTTGGGAAGATATTTGAAAATATCAATGTTAATCTCGGGACTATGGCTAGTGCATGGTCTAAAGCGGAAGAAAGGGAGCAAAGGATGGATGAAAAGGTGAACAAGGTATTGGATGAGGTGATGAAGTTAGATGGCATTTCTCCATCCGAAGCTTTAGAGGTTGCTACTATTCTCATGGCGGAAGAACATAAGCTTCGTATCTTCTATCAAGCACCATTTAACATGAAAAAACAATATGCAATTGATCTTCTTAAGAAGAAGTAGCATTTGATTGTTGTCATGTCTTTGTTTTTTTATTGAACATTTGCAACTTGAGCAATACAAGTTATGTGTTGGGATTATTCATATAATGATGGACATATTATTAGTCAATGTTTGGATAATTAATGAGTGCCAACTTTGCTTTGTATATATATATTGTTTTTTTTAACCGTAAAATATGTAGCATAGACAATATTTTTTATCTAGGTTATTTTTTTATTTTTTTACCCGTAAAATATGAGCATAGACAATATTGTATTATTCATTCTTATTTTTCGTTTCCGTTTGTTATACCAAACAAAAGGAAACGGAATGGTGATAATTGTTTCCGTTTCCTTTGATGTACCAAACAACTACTAAGGGTAACACTATTTGTTACCCTTTCCCCTCCTAATTTATTTCCATTCCGTTTCCTATATTAACTCCATACCAAACACCCCCTAAATATCTAACAATTAACAACTATTTACCAAACTCTTTTACACAATTAATTATTTACAACCAACTAGTCAAACCACCTAATATAATCTGCTAGTCAAACTAGTTAATACTACCAACTATTTACCAAATAAGGCCAATATCACTAGAGGCTGCGAGTCTTGAACTTTGATAGAAGTTGTAGATAAGGTACTGAACTTGCACCTGTTGTAGTTAGAGTACTCATACAGGTAATCCCCTCTAAATGGCCTTCTTTAACCGATTATCCATTGGGAAAATATATGTCTGACATAATTTAAGCAAGGCACTGAACTTTGAACAATTTCACAAATGACAGTTACAAGTAGCCGTTGGAGTTCGATCAACATCTTCAAGATCATTTCTGCAACAACAAAAACCCATTAATTTAAGGTAAAAAATAAATCAGTTTATAATTATAATTATAGTAGGCTGTTGTAAAATTTGACAGCTAAAGTTAAAGATGTCTAGGATGAGTTTTGGAATGAACACAATAACCAAGAGATGTCATTGTGGCCTGTTAGTATCGAGGAATAGGGCAAGCATGGGCAAAGGATAATCCTAGAAATTTTTTTGTTTTTTTGTTTTTTTTTAAAAAAAAAGGGCCTGGAAGAAGGCTATTCTTGCATGCCCTGACAATGATGTAGAAATTGAAAGAAGGGGATGTAAGTACTTGAGATGGGTGGACATAGAAGACCCTACTTCTTGGCAGACTGAGGTGATCTTGGGGCTAATGCATGAGAAACAAAAATTGAAGCATGAAGTAATGAGTATGAGGAAGGAAGGGAAGCCATCTAACCACTACACAAGAAAGGTTGAGAGTGATTACTTGGTGTTGAAGATGAAAAAGGTTGCTAGGAATTTGGGTTCAATTGTGGGTGTGGAAGGTCATTTTGGTTGTTTGTGGTTTGCTTTTAAGATATGTATGTAATGAACCGTAACAAATAGAAAAGTTTAGTTGTTTAATTTAATGTTTGTTGTTCCTCCTTGATCTTGCTAGATCGTGTGATTTTAAAATGTAAGACTGTTAGTAGCTGCAAGATTGAATAAATTACTTAGTTTGATTTAGAAAACATTCATTTCATTACCTACAGTGCTTGGGTTGACATATAATTATTGTTGAATATGTTGTTGATTATAGAGGGGATATTATTGACTGAATGAGTAGCTAGACTGTTTGCTCACCCTCAATGTCAGTGTAAAAGGCTCTCTAAGCATGTTATGTTTTTTGATATGTTGGTTGCTGCTATGGATGTTGTTGTAGTTGAACAGCAGGTTGTAAAAAATACTTTGTTAATGACTGAACGTAGATGTAGAGAAACAAAATGATTAAATACACATGGTTTAGAAATATAGGTTTTCTTTGTCAATTTTTCAAAGTGCACCTATTGTTGTGTCTATAATCTCGCATAACATAAGCAATAGTTAATTAATATGGTTATTATTTATAAAACTCTATAGGGTTTGTTAATCAATTTTAGGCACTATTAGAAATATCAATTTAGGCACTACTTATCCAATTTAATAATGTGGGTGCTATAGAAATATCAATTTTAAGTGAGGTCAAAGGGACCATTAGTGGAAGATTAGGGTAAAAGGTGAGATTATTAGGGAAAGATTGAGCAAAGGTAAGATTATTAATTTTCATTTTGAAGGTGAAGAGGCTACAAATAATGATGCATAACATAATTGTTGACCACGAACACCCAAGTCTTTAACAACTCGTGACTCAAGCCCTAATACAGCCCATTAAAAATTTCATGCGACCTACAAGCTTCTTGGTTCTTATACCGACTCACTCAATAACTTGAATCAAATAATGAACCGGTTCAACCATCAGGCCTCCACGGCTCCACTACACTATTCAAATACTCGTACCAAAAAAATACGAAATCTTCTTGAAGAACACAAAATTCATTTCAATTGCAAAAAAAATGTCGACAAATTTCTCAACACTTAGTCACCAAAAACTAACAGAGTAAGCTCCTCCCATGGCTTCTTCTTCTTCTCCTTCTCCTTCCCACCCCCACCTTCTTCTGCATATAATTAACCCTTAATTTTCTCTGTAATTTTTCACAGGTTATCTCAACCAATTCAAGAACTACTTTCAACAACTCCTTACAATCCCCCTGAATCCCACGATGTCTCCATCAAATCTCTCCTTCAATCCCTTCTTCCTTCCAAAACCTCCATTTCCACCAACATTTTTCCTCAGATTAGGGATTTCTCTCTCCTCTGTGCATTGCTATCTTCTTCATACACTTCAACTTCACCTCTTCTAAGCTGGATTCCTCAACATCTCACTATTGCGGCGAATTCGGCTATTCGAGCTCTTTCGGAAGCTGTTTATGGCGATTCTGACCCGAATTTGAGGTTTGAGAAGAGATTGATTGTTGAATTGATACCGGAGGTGGTCCCTTTGATTAAGGAAACGATTAAGGAGAGTTCCATTGGTGGTGATGAAATTTCTGCGGCGTCTTCTAGAGTTCCTACTGCGTACGCCATTGTTGCTGCTTATCAGCTTAGATGGTTTGTCTCACAGGTTTATTTAGGGTTTTTTCAATTTATGATAATTCAATTTAGGGGTTTATGAATTTTTTGAAAATTATTTAATTATTGTGATTTGGTGTTTTCAGGTTGAGTATCCAGAATTAGGGAAATTATGTGGTTTTATTTTTCCATGTGGGCTTACAGCTCTTGATCACTGGTCTTCTGAAGTGAAAGTATGTTCTTAATAATATTTCACATTGGCTTGTTTGTTTATTTGGTTGGTTGATTGTATTTGTTTCAGTACATGGTGAATTTTGAATATATTTGGTATGATTGTACGTTTAAGCCTATTACATTGCATTTGGGAATTTTTTTTGTTTCGAATCACGAATGGGTTGTGGAGCTAGTAACAATTTCTTATGGTTGTTGATATTGTATGAACTGTTTGAAAATATGTTAATTGAGGTGAACGTAACATACTCTTAGCAATGATGAAATTTATGTTTTGTAATTCTAAAATCTAGAGTAAGAATTGCAGGAGGAAGAATTTTTTTATTGTTCAATACATATGTTGACATGGAATGTTTCTCTTGCTTATATTACCCGTACAAGACTTTTGAAGGACACAGTTGGATGAAGTGTGTGTGTGTGGGTGGGTGGGTGGGGGGAGCCGTGGAGGGTATGGTTTGTGTGCTAGGAAAATTAATCATAGAAGCATATCACCTATATGTGTGTCAGTGTGTAACATAGTCAATCTTTGTGATTTCCTCTTGTAAATAGAAATATGGCCAAAATGTAGTCCTGCTAAGTTTTTCTTGCTCAGCCTGTATATATCCATTTTTCTAATATAATATATGGCACTTTATGAGATATTTTTAGTTTTTTGATTTGAGCTTATTTGTTTCGGTTGAATCTAGGGTCAAGGAATGATCAGCTTCATACATGTAGCAAAAAATGTCAATACTGCTGATCTTGGTGGATATGGAGATGTGATTCTGGATGCATGCTGTCACAATATTGTTTCGGATGATGAGATATGGCACCTTGCTGTTGAGATGTCAGTACGTTTTGTGACCTGTTTGCAGAGGAATAACCCTCGTAGCCCTTGGTATGTATTCCTTTAGTCTGCAACTTATAGGATTTTGTATGTTGGATTTTTTTTATATATATAAATGAAATTTCTTTTAGATTAAATGCTATCCAAATATCTGCTCAATTTGACTTTTTATTTTTATTTTTTTTGGTGTTTGTTGTGTGAATATCATTTTTTATGCTTCTATTTCTCTTTAAAAAATTATGTAGCATTAATTGTGAAAAGGCTGTGCCTAGAGTTCTGTAACTCTACTCCTGTCTCTGATTTCATAGTCAGCTACTTGCTCACTTTCTCATGTGAAGTTTCATAAGCTTGAAAGTCCAAATGAGCTGGTCCTTTTGTGTTAAGGTGAATTATAAAGAATTTGACCTTTGGATGGTATATAGCTATTATTAGTTGCTGTCTGGTATTTCCTTGAGTTTGCTGTCAAGTGTGAGTGTAATTTGGGATATTTAGTTATCGTTGTTAATGGCTGACTATTACTACCTTTCCTGTTTCAAGTTGGACTTTTGAGATTTATTTGTGTATGCTTTTATTTAGCACCATGAGTTCATGGGACTTGTATAAATAAGAGTTATACTACTTATATAGATGAAATAAAGTTTTCAGTATATGTAAATGTGTGATAATGTAGCCTGTTTATTCATAGTTATGGTCATTTTACACAGGTTTGAGAGGCTTTTAAATGAGATGCTAGGTCATTTGGAGCGCCAACCTAGGGACAAGAAGCGCCGTATTGCATGGCTGAAACTTGTTGAACCACTCTTCTGCTGTGTTGGTCTTGTTCTGCTAGCTCACTTCAGACGTTTGTTTCCCCTTTTCTTCCAATGGGTGCATGCTGATGACGATGAAACTGTTCTGTTGGTAACCTCTACTTTATTGCACTTTAGTCTAAACATCAATGTTTATGGTATGTAAATGGAAGTTCTAAATGGTCTCACAATTGTTGTAGGCTCTTGAAAGGATCCACACTGTTGTGAAATTGACATGGATAAGGAGCAGTCCACACACTATAAGGTGAGTCAGCAGTACTGTCCTGCACTGAGTGTGTGCTTGCCATGTTGGTCTTTTTTTTATATTTTTTTATATGCCAGTGAAATTGTTCTTCTGTATGTATGTCACTGAACATTGAAATATGGTGCTAATATATATCTGGGATGGTTTGACATACTGGCCATGGTGGTTGTTTTAGCAAGTGGCTACAATGTTGTATTTGTTGATCGATTAATATGATGGCTGAGAGTCTTGATACTACCTTGAATACCCTCAATTTCCTTGTGTGTAACTGAGAGCTATCTGGTTTTATCACTTCAATCTTTTTAGCAGTTGCATGCTCTTAATTGCAGGTTAGTGGATGAACTAGCAGTTCTATACAAGGAGGCTGCTTTGAAAACTGCCCGAGATGAGATAAGAACACGTATTTTTCAGATATTGATTCTACTTCAGCAGTAAGGACAGATACCGATAATTATTTGTTTGCCTTGCCTTTATTTTGCTTGAGAGGTGATATTTGATAAATCTTTGTTTTTCTTCTGTAACCCAAAGATCCAAAGGGCTGCAGTTTGAAGCAACTTGGGAGAAGTACAAGGATGACCCAAACTTAGGGACTCTTGTTCAGTCCATTGCTGCAAATGCTACCTCAGTAAGAATTCTTGCTCCTCCTTTGCATTTGTGCCTTATCTAGCTATACTGCTCCCAGTTCCAAACTTGTGACAGGAAAGTTGAATCTGTTGCTTTCCTCCGTCTTGGACTAATTCTTCACAAGAAGAATTCTTAAATATAAAAAGTAACTATTCATAAGTGTTCTTATATGCCAAATTTATGCTATAGTTACTGGATTTTGCTTGAGTTCCTGGTTATAAAATGAACCCCACAAGTATTTGAATGAGATTTCAGAGGAAAAGATGTTAAAAACTAGGTTTGCACTCATTGGTGGAAAGTGATTGACAAGCATGAACAAAATCCATCACATACAAAGTGTGAACCTGATAGCTGTCACCATTATCACTTTTCAGAACATTGGTAAATGAGCATAAGACCCATCCCTGTGGGTCTTCTGCCTTGTTAAAAGCTTGTTTCCTGCTGTTATTCTGTATCTTCCTATATCAAGCCCCATCTCTAATTACTATTCTTTTGCTGCTCTCCTTTATGGAGCATTTTGTGGCCTCAATGATGCAAAACATATCTGATGTGCATGTTATTCTGGTGCAATGCAGGTTGTCCAATGAACACTATGGTGATCGTAAATGCAGCACAACATTTGAGACTTGAAGACTCGAATAGATTTGATATGCATTCCCTTGCACTACCAAGGGCAGCCCAACACTTGAGAGGAGTCAGACATTGATATTGGAGGCTTTGGATAGGTTAGCACTTGAGTCACCCGGGTTTCGCAATATAAAAAGGCTGCTGATTATATAGGAGATTAGGAGGACATCGTTCTGGAATCAGGATCATGCTATATGTTAGTCTCACTTTAGTATCATCTCCATGTCGGCATGTACTAAATATTCAGCTTTTTTTTCTTTTTCTTTGGAGAGGTGTTTATTAGCCAAGTCAAAATGATCTTAAAGATAGTCAACATGATCTTAAAGATATAGTCAACATGATCCAATGTCTATATTTGTATACCTAAGCACGAAGGTGTACCCAAGTATGGACATTTTGGTGTATAATACCAAAAGGCATAACCAATCATGAATTGATACGATTCATATTTGATCTTTATTTAGTGTATATGAACATAGAAAGCTAATCTTAAATATGAGGTTTTGTCTTTTATTTTATTTTATTTTATTTTTTTTATAGGAAAATCTTAAATATGAGGCTTAAGGTAACATTAGAAGCAAATAAATGCAATATTCTCGCTTTTAAATTGTAACTAGTTTTGTGCCCGTGCGATGCTCGGATTGTTGATAAATTTTCTGGTTTGAATGTTAAAATCGGTCTTATAATCCCTTTGGAAAATGCTAGATATTTCGATATACAATATCATATCGCTTATTTATATAATAATTGTACTTTTTGTAATTTTGTTTGTAAATAGATATCTATGTTATTATTGATTTGAAATTATTTTTATTGAACTTTGATTATTTTTACTGAACTGAAAGTATTTAATTACCAAACTAAAATTATTTTTACTAATTAAAACTTATTTTTATTGATTCTCTATTATTTTTTAAAATAAATTAAATATATTATAAATGGATCTTATTTTAAAGAACTTTTTAAAACAAATGTTATGATGGAATTAGAACTGAGTTATAGGATATTAATTAAAAGTTATGATTAATTTTGTATATGTGAAATATTAGAAGTATATTAATAATAAAACATTTTTATCTTAAAAAATCTATCCAAAATTCTCTTCCTTGGCTTGACACTTGGCATTTTCCTTAGTTCGACATTTGACGAAAAACTGGAATGTCAAGTGTCACTGTCTCGTAGCCTGGCTGCGAGACCGGCTTTATTTATTAGTGACTAGTTTTGTGCCCGGACGATGCCCGGATTGTTAATAAAATTATAGGATAAAGTTTTTGGCTTGAATGTTCGTTAATACGGTCATGTAATCCCTTTTGATAGTGCAGGATATTTAGCTTAGACATACGATATCCTATCACTTATTTATATAATAGTGTACTTTTTGTAGTTTTGTTTGTAAATAGATATCTATGTTATTATTGACTTGAAATTATTGTTATTGAACTTAAATTATTTTTACTAAATTGAAAGTATTTTTACCAAACCAAAATAATTTTTACTAATTAAAACTTATTTTACTGATTCTCTACTATTTTTTTTAACTAAATTAAAAAAAAATGGATCTCATTTTAAATAACTTTTTGAAACGAATTTTATGATGGAAATAAAATCGAGTTATATGATATTTATTAAAAGTTATGATTAATTTTGTATATATGAAATATTAGAAATATAGTGATAATAAAAACTCTATACAACATTTTTATTTTGAAAAATCTATCCAAAAAACGCTTACTTAGCATCATATGTGTCACAATAATGCCTCTTTGTCGCCTACGTGGTGCGACACTTGGCAAAAAATTAGAATGCCAAGTATCGCTGTCTCGTGGCCTGGCTGCGAGACCGACTTTACTTATTAGTGTCGTGCCAGGGCGATGCCCAGATTGTCCTAAACTTTTTAGCTTAAATACGATCATATAACCCCCTTTTGATAATGTAAAGTGTTTAGACATACGATATCATATCACTTATTTATATAATAGTGTACTTTTTGTAATTTTATTTGTAAATAGATATCTATGTCATCATTAACTTGAAATTTTTTTATTGCACTTAAATTATTTATAATGTACTGAAAGTATTTTTACCAAATTAAAATTATATTTTCTGATTAAAACTTATTTTTACTGATTTTCTATTTTTTATTAAAATATATTATAAATGGATCTCATTTTAAAGAACTTTTTAAAACGAATTTTATGACGAAAATAGTACTAAGTTATAAGATATTTATTAAAAGTTATAATTAATTTTGTATATATGAAATATTAGAAGTATATCGATAATAAAACACTACACAACATTTTTATCTAAAAAAATATATCCAAAATTCACGTACTTAGCATCCTTTGTGTCACAATAATACCTATTTATCGCCTACTTGGCTCGACACTTGGCGAAAAACCGGAATGCCAAGTGTCGATGTCTTGTTGCCTGGCTGCGAGACCGACTTTATTTTATTAGTGATAAATTTGTTATATATATAGATAGATAGATAGATAGATAGATAGATAGATAGATAGATAGATAGATAGATAGATAGATAGATAGATATCCTCTAGTCATTATCTTTTAAATTTGGGCTAGTATACATTCTCTATTAAAAGGATTTCTTTTACATATTAAAAGGATAAAGAACAAAAACTAGTATACATCCTAATAACACTTGGCGAAAACTTAAACTGTAAAATAAAAGAGTGTATGATGCCCCAGATTCCCTCTACAATATATATCCTTATGTTTTAAAAAATTCTTATATTAATTGGCTACTTATAAAATAATTATAAGGAATAATTATAATCTCAAAGACATTATTACTAATGTCTAAATCTATCTATGTTTGAAATATTAGTTGCTTTAAATGTTCATAATCGAATGAGTAATTTAATTTTACAGTTCCATTGACATTTAATAATGTGAGTACTCCTAGACTTTATTCGTAACCCTCAGTTTGTTAAGTAAAAATATATTTCTACCAATCATAAATTTGTGAGTTATAATTTTTAAAGTATATCATAAATGGATTTTTTTTTTTTGAAGAATAAATGGATTTTTTTGAAATACTCTTTAACACAATTATTATGATATAAAAATAATAAATTATTAAGATAGTAATTATTGAAAATTATAATTTATTTTTTTAATAGGATTATAATTTTATTTGTACATATAAAATATTGGTACTTTATCGAAAATAAAACTCTAAACCAGTAATTTTATCCTAAAATCTATCCAAATTTTATTGAAAATAAAACTCTAAACTAACTTTTTATCTTACAAAATATATCTAAATCTATCCAACATTTTCATCCTACGTGTCATAATAATAATAAATTGTTGTCTACGTGGCGTGACATTTGGTGAAAAGTTAAGATGCCAAGTGTCGTTGTCTCGTGGCCTGGCTAAAAATTTAGCTTTATATATTAGTTATATGATATTTAATTTATCAAAAAGGATTATTCAAATAGTATAAAATAATATATCTATGTCATTATTGAATTAAAATTATTAATATTGTACTTAAATTATTTTACTGAACCGAAAGTATTTTTACCAACTAAAATTATTTTTACGGATTAAAACTGATTTTTACTAATTCTCTATTAATTTTATAAAATAAAAATATTATTAATGGATCTTATTTTAAAGAACTTTTTAAAACGAATTTTATGATGGTAATAGAACTGAGTTATAGGATATTTATTAAAATTTATGATTAATTTTGTATATATGAAATATTAGAATTATATCGATAATAAAACTCTACACAACAATTCTATCTTAAAAAATTTATCCAAAATTTGCTTACTTGACATTATATGTATAACAATAAAACCTATTTGTCGCCTACGTGGCTCGACTCTTGGTGAAAAACTGGAATGTTAAATGTCGCTGTCTCGTGGCCTGGCTGTGAGACCGACTTTTGTTTATTAGTGACTAGTACGTGCCTCAGGCGTTGCCCTGAATACCCATTTTAAAGTGTGCAACATATTTTGTATTATTATTATTATAATTATAAGTATAATAATTTAATTATTAGTAGTAGTATTTATATTTTTTTTTAAATGTTAGATACAAAAAGAGAGTAGAAATACTATCTATTATTCTTTTTTCACATTTGTTATCATTTTCTGTTTTCGTAAGTTGCACTATATTCACTTGGTCTACTATGACCAATGTTTGTGAATTATATATATATATATATATATATATTGTTTATCAAAGTTTTATGTCGACATATGTGTTAAATTTCAAAGGGACGCTAAAATAATAGAGGGGGTATAATTTTGTGAAAAGAAGAGTGTGTCGGTAAAAAAATAAAATAAGTAAAAAGTTAAAAGTAATTTTTTTAACACGTAAAATCAACAGATTATATATTTTTATTATTGGCCTAATTGGACCATTTGTAATAATATATGGCTGGTAAATGGGCTATGGAGGCTTTGTATAACCCGTAAAGTTCTAAGATCTTGCTAACATTGATTTGAATTCACTTCAAGATTCTCTTGTATTATACAGTTTTTGTTGTGTCCTAATTTTAGTAGTTTTTGACATCTTTGATTTCATTAACAAAATCACAAACATACACAAATTTTACAACCGAGTATGAAGAATCCCTTATTAAAAAGCTTTAATGGTAAATCAATAGTAGACTAAAAACAATTCAATGATACATGACCATATTTATAATTAAAATTACATTGTTAATTGGATATTCATATTAATTATAATTTGTGGTGTGTTGCTATAAGTAAAATTTTATTGTCAATAAAAAGATAAATTTTTTTCAAAAGAATTATAAATTATTTTATGTATACGTTTTTATCCTAAACAAATTTATCCAATCTAATCACAATAATATCTATTTTTCGCCTACGTGGCTCGACACTTGGCGCAAAACTGAAATGTCAAGTGTCGTTGTCTTAGGCCTGGCTGCGAGATCGACTTATTTATTAGTAATATGATATGATATTATGATTAATCACGGACTATTTATTTTTTGATTGCTTCTTGAATTTAACGATTGAAACTTATTTTTCTAAATATAATTTAATTTAACGATGAACTTATAATTACTCATTTCAATTTTAAATGTTTGTTCGAAAACAAACAAAAAAAGGAAGAGCTCATTCGTTTTTGTTTTAGTTTTCTATAAAAAACCATGAAAAGTGGTTTGAAATTTTTGTTGTCAATTTTCATTTAAACTAATGATGATATTAATTAATTAGACTATTTTTTAAAAATACGAGTAATTTTTAATGAAATAAGTATATCATATAATTTTTAAAATAAAAAAACCAAAAAACTGATAACCATTCAGTCCCGATAAAAAAAAAAACCCGAAATCATACGAGTACAAAATAGTTTATTCCGTAATACCATACACCCTCATCGTAGGCAATCAACTCCCTCTCGTTCTGAAACAAACTCAAATAACCGCCAAAACTCAAACACACTTTCCTCCTTTCTCTCTCTTCACTCCTCTGTAACATACTCTTCTACCTCCCTCTGCAACTAACTTCATTATATAAACCCACAAACACCCATTTTCTCACTCCTCCAGAACTTTCCTTCTCTCTCTGAAACACCATTTCCACAATTCTGCAAAATTCTCTGCTCAAGCTCACAACAATGGCGTTTTTCTCTCTCAATTTCTCTCTCCTCCTCTTCCTCCTAACAACCATCACTTCCTTCTCTCTCACCACCTCAACCCCAACTATCGGCGTAACAATCCAACACCACCCATCTTCCGCCACCCCTGAACACATCGCCGCCGCTGTCAACCGCCATAGAATCGCCGCCGTTCGACTCATCGACCCAGACCCAAACCTCATTCGAGCCTTCTCATACTCCTCTGTTTCACTCCTCCTCTGCATCCCCAACACCCTCGTCCACTCTCTCGCCGCTAATCGCTCCAACGCCGCCGTTTGGCTTTACACCCACGTCGTCCCTTTCTACCCTCGCGCCAAAATCTCCGCCATTTCCGTCGGCTCCGACATCCTCTCTTCCTCCGACGACCTCGCCGACGCTCTTCTTCCCGCCATTCGCAACATCCATGTTGCGCTTCACGAGCTGGGTATTCGTCGAATCTCTGTTTCATCAACTTTCTCTCTCATCCCTCTCATCACCTCTGCTTTCCCCCCTTCTTCTGCTGAGTTCGGTGAACCGGTAAACGACCACTTAATCCGGCCATTGCTGGATTTCTTGGAAGAGGCGAATTCCTCTTTCTTGGTGAATATTCATCCGTACGATCTTTACCGGTTGAACCATGAGATTGTTCTTGGGTATGCTCTGTTTCAAAAAAGTCGGTACAGTTTTGTGGATGATCCGACCACCGGAGTAAGGTACCAGAATCTTTTTGATACCATGGTTGATGCGGTTCTTTCTGCAATGGCGGTCGCCGGGCATGAGAATATTCCGGTTGTCGTAACCGAAACCGGGTGGCCGAATTCCCCTGCAACCTTGGAGGAGAATAATGCCAACCAAGTGTTCGCTGAAATGTATCTGAGAGGTTTGCTCAAACATCTGAAATCTGGGGTTGGTACACCTCTGAAGAAAGAAGGGGTTTCTGGGGTTTACATCTATGAGCTGTTTGATAAGGAAAGAGGTCAAGGAAACAGCAATGCTTCATTGAGGCAATGGGGGATTTTCTACCCTAACTTGACCAGCAAGTATGATCTTGACTATAGTGGGTCCTACAGAACTGCTGAGAGCAATGGTTTCTTGAAGATTCTTGCAGTATCTTTGGTGGTTCTTGCTTTACTGTAAGCAACAGTTACTACCCTCTTACTGAGAATTGATGCCTGATTTAGTAGAATCTGACTTTTGGTTGGATTCCAATAATTCAATTGAGCATTTCATGCTTCCTGTTAGTTTCTTGTTCAACTTTTTGTTGTTAGATGTTTGAGATTTAGTTGTAATGCAGAGAGTTCATTGATGATGTGAAGAATTGTAGCTTCGAAACTCGAAATCAGTGGTTGTTTTGAGCTTGTTGATCACTGGTTTAGGAATATTACACGAGTAGTAGTGTGTTGAAGAACAATTGTTGATTCTGGGATTACTGTATAAATCTTTGGTACACAGTGAAATGAAATGAACATTTAAGTTTTTTTAGTATATTTGGTACTTTGTTGTTCATAATCTTAGTGTAATTTGAATGTTATTAATTACTTAATGCAGATTTTTGTTGCATACTATATTACTTATAGCTATTCCATTTTTCTGCTTTTGGTTTGATTTTTGTTATATGATAGATTTTGGGCATAATTGAAGTACAAATCATTGCAAAGAACCGATATAATAGGCCTAGGAACTAATTTATGTTACAATTAGTTAAAACTATTTTGGATCATTGTGTATGAGTCATACTTCAATACTGACTAATTTGTGTATGAATCATACTTCAGTATTTACTGATACCCAATGTTTTAATTGCATTGAACCATCTCAAACCTTGTCAAGATTGAAAGTTAGGTGCTATTTTTGTTAAAGGCTTGGATTCTAGTTTTCTTTCTTTTCCACTACTCATGATAATAAAGATATATTATCTGCCACTCTTTGAACAAAAACTTACCCTGCTGGTAGGATTAATAGTAAAGAGTATTGGCAACAAAGTGCACATTGTAGACAGCTTTTGTGAAGGAGTAGAGTAAATAATTAAGACTAGCCAGCATAATTGAAACCAAAATGAACCTACATATTCAAATGTTAGTTCTAGTATATTGGTTGACTAATGGCACATTCCTACATACAGCATGTTGATTTAATTGCACAGTTGCCTTACTAATGTGAGCTGGGAGTATGGTTAGGTCAAATTGTTCTAGTTTATGAATTATTAGCTGGTAGCTTCAACTGTTGTTTCGAACACTCTTTATTCTGAAATTTCATTTTTGGAAGTTTGAAAATAGGCTTTCCTATGGAAAACCCTGCTAAGATATCCAAACTGCTGGTGATCACACCAGCAACGTGATATCCTTGTCTGTCTATTGCTGCTATTCTTCTTGAGAAGTATTCTAGGCTACTCAGCATCATTTCATCAGTTGATCTGCCAAAAAAGCAAAGAACTCACTCAAATCAAATAATATACGTCAACTATAGCATTTGCACATTAATACAAGTTTTAAAGTACATACTCAGTAGGAGGTGCAGTCTGTGCAGGAAGTTAGATACATGAAATAAACATACGTATAAGCTGATGAATACCAAAAGTGAAAGAATGAGCTTACCTCATTATCAATGATGCCCATTCTATATACCCTGCTGAGACAAGATACTTAGTGATGGCATTCTGTTGTTTCTGTGCCGTTCTTGTTATCAACATCAGAGTCCATCCACTTTCCTGAATTCTATTATATAACCTTAGCATAAGCATACACCTTAAATTGATCTCTTCTTCATTACAATCTCTACAACTGCTTCCATAATAAAATATGTATCAACTATTAATATAAATTCGAAGTACAAATTTTGCGATGTGAGTATATTGCACCATCACTAGTCTGTCAGCAGTCAAGACTAGAGCTTAATGCAAAAAAAATATTCTAAAAGCACAAATTTTGATCAGGAAAGAATAGTATCTGATGATGTTTCGATATGTAAGTTTTACCTATTCTTCAAGAGTTTGCTGTAATGAACACTCGAAGGGAGGATGTCATCTATGTCCATTAAGACGACATTGAAATCATGATTGTAAGGCCTAATAATACTGCTGAAGTATTTCTCAGCCATTGAAATGCTGAAGTTCAAGTCTCTCACAAATTGACCTTCACTGGTATAGTAAAGAGCATAATACTTGCAATAATCCTCGTTATAATATGACTTCTGGCTCTCGAGTATACCAGAACTTTGACTTTGACATGATTGTAGCATCACAATCAGTGTAACTAACGAAGTGATCAATAAGATTCCTATAGTTATGAGACCAGCTATGAAGACAGTTGCGGCAAAGGATGACATATAGAATCCGGTCTCATAGTGGTTGTGGCTTCCTGACTCTGCATAAATATGTAAGATAAATAGAAGTTATGATGAGTCCTATTAAACCTATTGGTTGCAGAAACAAGGAAAATGATACCTCAACAACAGTCATACTCTAATCTCAAAAGGCTACTAATCAAGTAATCATGCTTTCAGGCCATATGTATCAACAAGATCCTAGAGTAACTGTCTGAAAAGTACCTTAAGAGGCCGTTTAAGAAGGCATTATATTATATATATACTAACCGGAACCTCCATCGCTAGAAACATTTTGAAATGAGTTCTCCCGTTCCATTTGATGATCTAAAGCAGACAGTCCGAATTATCTAGCAGATGATTAAATTCTTTTGTCACAGACTTAGCTTCCTCCTATCGCAATGAACATCAACCTGACAAAGTTAGATTAGAGTACACATTAAAAAGATAGCATTATGTAGTTTTTGTCAAAAGAAGGTAATGAGATTAAGAGAGGAGGCTTGTGACTCAACCGGGAGCAAGAAATGAAAAGATTATAAAGATTCATGATTTTCATGCTCACAAGTCAGAGCTCAAAAGTGTTATGCATCACCATCACGAAGTTTCCTTAAAGTGTATGATTTTTTTGTAAAAAAACAAAAAAAAAGTGTATGATTTTGGCAACACTTATAAATCACTTAGGTTAGGTCCCGTGCCATGCACAGTGGCGGACTTGGGCTTAGACCTGGTGGGTCAAGTGACTCACCAGGCCCAAAAAAAAATTTTAAGTTATTTAAAAAAAAAAAAAAAAAAAAAAAAAAAAAAAAAAAAAAAATTAAAATCAGTTACAGCCTTACAGGAGAGACGGAGAGTTCAAGGCTTTCAAAGTTTCAAGCCCTAGCCTCTTCGTGCTCTGGCTTCTCCTTCTCCGCCAGTCCGCCTAATCGCCTCTTCGTGCTCTGGCTTCTCCTTCTCCTTCAGTCCTTCTCCGCCTAATCGCCTCCATTCTTCTCTTCGTGAATCGTGAGTCGTGACTTCGCCTTCTCCGCCTAATCGCCTCCATTGTTAATCGGCTCATCTCCGTTCTTCTGTTCGTGACTTCGCGTCCGAGGTTGTGGAAGATGACTAATTGACTTTCCCATCGTCACATTTATCAGGTTCGATCTTGTTTCTCTCATTCTCTGTCTTGATTTAGTTTCAAATTTTTGGGTTTGATTGTCGTGGATTTTTGCATATATGTTCCTGTTGTTTTCGACATGTTCAATCATCAATGTGTATTCGAATTTTTTTGGTTCAATCTTTGTGGGTGTATTTCAGCAAAATCGCTTCGTTTTTATTGGGGTTTATTTGATCATTATTTGTTTTCGATTTTTTGGCTTTATTTGGTCGATTGGTTTTCGATTATTTTGGGGTTTATTTGATCGATTTGTTTTCGATTTTTTGACTTTATTTGGTCGATTGGCTTTCGATTGTTTTGGGGTTTATTTGATTGATTTGTTTTCGATTTTTTTGTCTTTATTTGTTCAATTGGTTTTCGATTATTTTAGGCATCATCCAACCACTAGCTTATCTTTACTAATGCTGTGAGAAATTGACAAAAATGCCAAGCAATCCCACATTATCTTTACTAATTCTTGTTACTCAGCTTGAGTAACGGGAATTTCCCCATTTGTTAGTTGTTACAAAACCATTTTGTTTATTAGATTCCAAAGATTATTAGTTCTACAGTTCTAAGTAAGAAGTGATAAGTGTCCTTACCACAAAATAAAAAAAATGCTAAGTGTGACTAAAACTATTGCAAAGTAATTATAAAATCACGTCCCCAACTAAAAACAATAATCTAAATTACCCTAACCTAGCTTATTTTCAATTAAAAGTCACGTAGCAAATTTCAGAATCGTTGATCAAAGTATTTACATAACAATCTTACACTATTAAATCATTTCAACAATACCCTCCAATATATATTTAGGTGTTCCCCTCGTGAAGAGGATCTCATAATGTTCCATTTTCATTACACTTAAAAAAAAAGCTCTCTTTGATCATATTTATTGTTTTTTACCTAAACGAAAACATTTCCTCATCCGATATTACACTTAAATTAGGGTATGAAACTTGGTATTCAAATACTTTAATGTTCCTGCTTCTTTATTTGATTGTCATTTTGAATAGAATTGTGCTAATTAATCATCTAATGATTCACTCCGCTTATTGTGCTTCCCATCCTTAAGTATGTAGACATTTGATTATTTATTTCCCATTAAAAGGTGCTTACACTGTTACACATGTTATGTAAAGTATTTGGCTTGTCAAATTTGGATATCTTTTCTGTTGATCTTTGGGTCAAAGTCTCTTATGAGATCCCTTGATTTTAGATATATATTTGATGCACAGAGTCTATTACTTGATTCTTTTTATATCTGGCTGCGTTTGATCTAGCTCCCTTGTCTGACTGGTGTCCATTATGAATTGCTTGATTTAGACCATTTAGTTGAATATTTATTCAAATAATTTTTCTGGGGAATATTGCTTGATTTAGTTCAATATTTATTCAAATTTCAGAATGAAGAGAAAACATACTCCAAATGAAATGCAAAACATTACTAGCTTCTTTACTAAAAAAAATCCTACTCCAACTTCTCTTCCACATCCAACACAAAATGAACAAACTATAACTCCACCTCAACAAAGTGAGCAACTTTCATCTCCATCTCATTATTCAACTCAAAATTCCCCTCAAAATGAACAAGGCCAATGTTCTCCTAATGCCCCAATCTTTGGAGAAAGATTAAGTGAACATGAATTTGCTAATCTTCCACAAGATCCAGGAAAGAGGAGAAAAATGAGTCAATTTCATAAAGATGATAGAGATTTAGTGAGAAGAATTTACATTCAAAGAAAGCCTTGTCAGCCCAAAGACTTTACATTTCCTCAAACTTCTATTTTTGGCAAAAATCGTCGCTTTTGTGCTAAGTGGTTTGATACTTGGACTTGGCTTGAGTATAGTGTGGAAAAGGATGCTGCCTATTGTTTCCCTTGTTATCTATTCAAGGATGAAAATGCCTTTGGAGGTGATGCTTTTGTTAGTGATGGTTTCAAATCATGGAATCGATCGGATTTAATAAGAAAACATGTCGGTAAACACTTGAGTGCACATAATAATGCTGTTTTAGCTATGGATTTGTTCAAGAAACAAAATTCAAGCATCACACAAGCCTTAACAAAACAAACCGCTGAGAGTACAAATGCATATAGGACGCGACTTGAAGCTTCAATTGAATCTATCCAATGGCTTTTACTCCAAGGGTTGCCTTTCCGTGGTCATGATGAAAAAGAAAGTTCCTTAAGAAGAGGTAACTTTCTTTCACTTTTATCCCTTATTTCCAAAGGTAATCCTGAATATTCTAAAGTTGTTTTCAAAATAGCATGGGAGATCAAATGTTGAATGATTGTTTAATTACTTATTTGGAGAATGATTTGTTTTTGAATGTTAGCATGGAAGATATCATGAATCGATATCAAAACATGAAAACTCGTCGAGAACTATTTTAATAAGTTTGCATTACTATTTAGTTGTCTTTTGTAGTATTATATGAACATTTGGTTGTATTTTGTACTGTTTGAATATTTGGATGTATTTTTTAGTACTATTATTTGGTTGTTTGGTAAAAAAAAAATTTTAACATATTTGATTATCGATTGTGACTCACCAGTCGGAAAATCCTGGGTCCGCCACTGGCCATGCACGGTACGTTATTTTAATTACTTTTGACAAATTAATTTATTTATAGCATAAAATATAAAAATTGTTTAATATCTTTAACAAAATTGAAGTAACATGGAATATTTGATCAAGATCATATTCTTAAAATATATTCCACCAAAAATACATCTTCTTGAAAACGATTATATATTTCCTTATTATTCCGTAATTAATTGTGTATCAACATAAAAATGGTAAATATTATTGCTCATTTATATAGTTGACAAAAAAAATAATTTTTTTTAAATAACTTCCTTAAATAAAATTTAGTAATTAATTATTAAAAAAATATATACTAAGAACACACCAGAAATCGACACGTGTCATTACTGGTGTGCCTTTTAGTATATAATTATTGATTATTGATTGATTGATTAAATTTGTATTTTAGCTCTCATCAAATGTTGCGATGTGTCGCAAAATGGAATTTCATATTAATTGGTACAAAGTTACAAACTAGGAAGGTCTAGTAAATCAGTCCATTTTGTATTTTTGTGAGCACTACAACTACCCATGGTAAAATTTGTCAACTACTTACTTCATAATAAGTTCATAATTTACATATTTAATATTTTAAAAATGAAACTTGACAATACACTCATATAGTCATGAATTATGATGTAGCAATACCGATACGGAGTATATACATAGGTTCTAATTTGAAAATACTTTGAATGGACGAATCTTTATTTTCTTACTACTTGTAATTTTTTTTCCGTTAATCACTCATTATGCACTTTGTATTTTACTTCCCATACATTCTCAATTTGTTAGGACAACCATTTTTTTTTTTTTTTTATTATTATCATCTATTTCAGATAAATGAATGAGGTTATGAGCTAGGAAAAAAAAAGGAAATTATTGGATTAGCGAGTACTTTTCACTTTTGTAATTGTTTCTATTTCTATTCAATTATCACTTTGTACAAATTATCGTTATTCAACTTTAAAATACTCCGTAATATTTAATAAATTGTAATTTAATTCAATTAAAATACCACGAAGTATACATTTAATACATATCAGTTTCAATTACAATTAATTGATCAATTTTATAGTCTAATCAAATCTAATCAGAGACCCTATATGTAAAACACACTAGTGAATCAATAGCTCCATAAATTACTTTCATAAAAAAATCTACATAGTATTTCATTTCGTAAAAATAACTTCACCTCAAAAAAATTAACCTAAAACAACTCCCATTCTCCTCACGAGCCGGGCCCCACCCAATAAGAAATCTGGGTTTATCATTAAACAAAAAAAATAAAAAAGAAAAATAAGAAAGGTCCCTGACTTCCGATCGTCTCCTCTGAAATCTTGTTACCCAGATCTTCAACCCACTAAACCTGGGAAGAGAGAGATAGTGACGCTAATTCTCAACTTCGAATTCTCTGCTATTCTGAACCACATTATTCAATTCTTCTCTTTTATTATCTCAGGTAAATTATTCAATTTTTCCGATAATTTTAGGGTTTTCGATCTTGCATTCACTTCACTTTAATTTTCTACTGTTTCTGGATTTTTTCTTTGATTTTATGGGTTTTTGTTAGTGTTGTTTACTACTATATAGTGTCGTTAATGTAATCAGCGATGACCTGAAACTGAATTGTTTGGATAATTTGCTTAGCATTTGGATCATATTCGATTTTCTTGTGTCAGCTGTTAGCATAATTTAATAGTAATTATGAATCTATAGTTTTCAAATACTTTGATTTATGAATTATATAATGTCGATTATATTGTTCGATGTTAAGACTTTTTTGTGTATGATTGATTTGGACTTTTGGAGCAGAATGATGAGAGTCACTTATTGCTAGAGATTATTGAATTGCTTAATGAGTTTCTATGGTGTTCTATAATTCATAGTAGTTAGAAGATCGTACCGAATTCGAGCTATTTGACTTTATTTATGTAGTGTGATGATTATGTAGGTGTGAATTGAAGTACATCGAAGTCTATTGGTGATTGCTTGTTGTGTTAAATTATTATGGGGGATTTGATTTATGAAATTGGGCAAAATGCGTATATAAAGCTAGTGCTACACGCCTTAAAGCATAAGGAGAGCTCTGTTAATGGGGTTTTGGTTGGACGCTTTGATGGTGGCAAGGGAGTGGTCGAAATTGTTGATGCTGTCCCTCTTTTTCATTCGAACATTGGTCTTCTCCCGGCCCTTGAGATCGCCCTGATGCAGGTATGTAATTTTTCTTCTCTTTGTTGTGGTTGTTGGCTCCTTTTCGGCTTAAATTCTTATATTCAATTGTAGATGTACTTTTTTTTTTTGCCTATTGGAATATGCACCTTATATATTGAACTAATCTTTTTGCATATACTTAGTAACCTAGTGGGATTGATTAACATCAATGCATGCTAATCCTTTGATGTTTGAAGCCTTTATGCTTGATGAGGTATATATATATTATATAGAGTGCCAGAATATGGGTCATCTTGGGTTTCCAAAACTAGAAATTCAATACAATTTTGAACCAAGAGGAAAGTGAATACTGGGCCAATAACTGTATAATAATTTTTGAAATACTTGATGTTTGCTACTCGTATTGGTAGATTATTCGAAATCCATGGCTTTTCTCTACAACTTAATACTCCATACTAGCTAATGTTGGCTATTAGGTCTAGCATTCAGCATTACAGGAGTACAACCAATCCTATTTTGTTTTAGTATTCCTGCATCTTGAATATTCTACTTGTTTAGTGTTCATACACTTGTATAAATATGGTGTACTTGACATGCACTAGTAGACTTTTCACTGTGATGTGTTTCTTCCCCCCTGTGACATTTAAATCTGTCCATTAACTTCATTTGTGGGTATTAGTTGGTGTTTTTTTGAAAAATAGGAATATGCTTTAGAGGTACATTGAGATGATGACACCTCTAGTATTGTCCAGCAATCTCATCTGGTTTGCTTCAATCTATCACATTGAGTATAGTCAGTTTTAAATGAGATTGCATCCTTTTAGTAGGTACTTTGAGATGATGACACTCTAGTATTGGCTTGCCATCTGGCATGCTGCAATATGTTATCATAAGTATAGTCAGAATTAGATGAAATTGCGTCCTTTTAGTGCTTATTATGGATGGTTAAGATCTTCTGGTTTATGTGCAGAGATAGTTAATGATAGCTTAATAAAGTCTTTTTGGGTAACAGATGTTTTAACTCCTGCTAAGTATATCCAGAGTATCTTTATGACTTTACTCAGTCTGATTTGGCTACTATGTGTCTATGTGGGTGTTGTGGCTGGAATGGTAAATTTATTTAAATAGGGATCCTCCTCATTCCCGACTTCTCCCTTGGTAGTCTGTCTTTGATAGTTTGATCAGTTGCATCACGGCCTTTCTGAAATCATTTATGCAATTTATAGTGATTGACACGCTTTGTAGTTTCATTAATCTCTAGTTGTATACTCCTGGAGTCCTGGTTTTCTTTGCTCTGGGGTTGTTACTTTTTCTATTATCAGTGTTTTTATTTTTTAAAATTTTTTTATATAAAGAAAAATGTTTATGTACTAATCTGATGTCTGCTTAATTAGATAGAAGAGCATTATGCTAGTCAAGGTTTGAGCTTGGTGGGTTACTTCCATGCAAATGAAAGATCTGATGACAACGATCTTGGTAATGTTGCCAAGAACATTGGAGATCATCTTTGTCGATACTTTCCTCAGGCTGGAGTTCTTTTGGTATGCATGGTGACCAGATGCTGACTTGAATTTCATTATCCTTATATCTTCTAAATTTATTAAATTCATGCTTTTAATTCTATTAATGCTATTTTATATACTTTTTTGATTTCTTAGCTGGACAACAGCAAACTGGAAGCTTTACCAAAAGTGAAAGATCGCAGCCCTGTAATGCAGGTAGTATATTTTTTTTCCCTTTGCTTTTATGGAACACTAGTAATTTTTCCGTTCTATTTTGTGATCCTCTGGATCTGTAGGACTTGTTTTGTTAGTTTGTTATTTTGAAGTTTGAACAAATTTTTTCCTTTGGCTCTTGGATGATAATTTGAGGTTTGTCATTGCACAGTAGAGGTGTTTGTGGGATTGATGTGTGTATATGCATACTCCCTTCCTATAGTTTTGTTGTCCTGCGTTGTTCTTGGTCTGTTTTAAAGTGATTGTTCTACTTATTCATCATCACTGTGTAGTTGACTTGACTGCATATAACTACTACATATTTACATGCATGTTTTGTGAAACTGGAGGGGGTATCACATGATTTATGTTGATTTGAGCTCGCAAAATGTCCAATTTGCATTTATTAATCTCTCATCCAAGTGAATTTTTTTATTTAATGTCAAAGTGCCCTGTTCACTATTTTGTTTAATGAATTAGATTTCTTTAATAAAAGATAGGGCTGCACAATTGTGTGATGTCACTTGAGTTGCGGGCTTAGTTTTTTGTTGAGTTACTAAAACTTGCACAAGCACTCACATTTGGCCCAAATAAACGAAGCTTAGCCAAGTTTCATGTTAAAATTGTTTGTAAAAGGTGTGTACCATATTGTGGTTGTCTAATCAAATACCTTGTCTTGGTTGATGTTGTAGTAGCAGTGGCGGTTCTAGTATGGGTTCAGCTGAACCCATACTGGATCTGAAAAAAATCGCAAAGGCTTTTTGTAAAAGAAAAAAATAAACAAACATGGGTTAAATATAAAACAGTGTACTTAATATCAGTATATGCACAGCAGTCTAGTGGTTGAGGTCTTAACTTTTTAGACGAAAGCCCAAGGTTCGAAACCCAGCAAATGCAGCAGCGCTCTTTTTTATTCTTTGTTCTTATTTTATTAACTTTATCCACCAAATCCCCAATTCTACATACTAGTATATAGTCATTAAATAGCTTATTTCTCTCCTCACTCTCATCCAAGAAGGTTTGATTTGAAATTTTTGAAGTTTTAAAATTGTTATTTAAGCTTGTAAAATTGTTGATTGAAGACTTATGGTTGTAGATCGAATTGTTGAGTGAAGTTGTCATATACCAATATTGTTGATTGAAGTTGTGAAATTGTTGATTGAATTTGTTAATTTATTTATTAAAGTAGTAAATTTGTTGATTGAAGTTGTAAAATTGTTAATATTAAATTATTTAATGGGTAGTGTGTAAATGACGTGAAATAGTAAATGTGATATATTTCGGCCTTTAATTTTTATAGTTTGGAGATGAAAGGTTTAAAGTATTTTTTGGAAAAATTGTGAGTTAAAATCATAAAATCGTCCGGTTGTTCCTCTCAAATTAAATTCAAATTGATATCTCTGCCAATACTTCAAATTGCCATGTATTATGCACACCCAAATTATTAGTTTAAAATTTAATTTTGAATTATGATGATACTTGATTTTACTGTATACGATTGGAGATTTCGAACCCATAAGAACAAATTCCTGGAACCGCCACTGTGTAATAGTGCTTGCCTTGACTCTGTTTTCTGAGGAGTATCTTTGTCAAGCTCTTTGTAAAGCTCTACTGACTAAGTTCATCTTTGTTCTTGTATTATCTTAGAAATTTGATCATCCTCTCATATTAATTTGTGGATTTATTGTACAGCTATATTCAAAAAATGGTTCCACATGGAAAGTAGAGGAGAGTAATCGGCTGGTATTAAAGGAGCCATCAGCAAACATTATATTGTTGGACTATGTATCAACTCAGAAATGGGAGGACATTGCAGACTTTGATGATCACCTCGACGACATTAACAAGTAAGTTCATGTTATTTTACTCCTGTTATATTTTACTTCCTCCGTTCTTTTTTACTTGACCCGTTTTTACTTTTACACTATTCACCACCCCTCTTTTGACCATCTTTTGTGAATAATATGTAAGGAAAAACATATTCATATTGGATCTTTTTGAATTCGTCTCAATAAGTACTATCATAATATATAACTTTTATAATATTGCTTATGGAGAATTAAAGTTATCGATCGTTAAAGTTTTGCATTGACAAGCGTGATAAAAGAAACGGGTCAAGTAAAAAAGAACAGAGGAAGTATATTGCTTAGAAAGAAAGCATAATTTTAATAAGCAATCAACTTTTTCTTGCAGGGATTGGCTTAACACTTATTTATTCAAGTGAGATTTTTAAAGCAGCTAGACAGCATTCATCTGACTATGTCCTGTTGAATATGGAATATGGAATTTGGAGCAAAGGAAAATTGAACGATAAGATGAATTAATAGGTTCAGATCTCATGAATTTTCTCCTTGTCTTTAAGCTTAAATTTTTGGAAATTCTAATGAATTATTTGTATCGCCTCTTGGCTTTTTTACATTGCCAATAGCTAATCAGGATTTTGACCAACTCGTATTTGAGGACTTGCATGCCTTCACTTTCATTACTCTTTTAGTCTTCTGCTGTATCCCTTTTGTTGATTTTTTTTTTTCGAAAACTAGAAAGGTACAGTAGTTAAATTAAATTTAAATGGTAATGTATGTTAAATTTCCTTGCGCAAGGCACCTACATATGATCTACCTAAAACTTCTAATCTCTCCATGATGAAAATTGAACCAAGCCCCAGGTATGTGCTAGCTTAGTAAGAAGATGGACGTCTGCTCACTAGATCGGGTGTAGCTAGCACTCCGGCCTTAACTTAGCAACCAAGTTTTTGCCACCTTATTCGATTGATAGCTTACAAATATTTACTTTGTCTAACTACCAAGTTAGTCACTGCCTTATTCCATTTTTTATTACAAATACTTTCTCCATTTCTTTATAATAGCAACACTTTTCTAATTTGAAAATTGTAAAATTGTTAATTATTTGCAACACCTTTCATTTTTGACATTTCTTTCTATCTATCTCTCTCCTATCCATATGGGTCCCTCTTATTTTTCTCTTTATCTCTCTCATCTTTAAAAATTGTCTAGGAGACCGTGAAAATAAAAGTGTGGCGGCTAAAAGGAAGTATCTACTTTGTCTAACAAAGAAGGATATTGCTAAATTAGGATTAAAGTAAATTAGTAAAGTGGGTAAAATAAAAAAGAAGGAACGAAAACAGAAAGTAGATAGAATAAGAAAGGAATACTAATATATACATACAATAATACAAGTAATTAGATGCAATAATAATTGTCAAAGTTATATTGACAATTTTTCTGAAATCTTACTCTCCGTATTTAAATAAGTAAAACGTTTTGACTTTTTGTACTATTAATCTAATTCACTTTGACTAATGTTTGTGATTTATACATAAGACTAATATAGTCTTACGGTACTTGAAATCGTCTCAATGAACAATTTATTAATATTCAATTGTTATAATTTTTACTTATTGTTATTATCAGTCAAAGTTTTGCATTAACATACGTGTAAAATAGATACGTTTCACTTATATAAATACGGAGCACGGAGGGAATATCAAATAAAACAAAAAAGATGAAGTAGAAAGTAGGATTATGGAAGGTTGAACCGAGTCTATTAACTAATATTAAAACAGAGTATGCTGACGTCACCACTGCCTACATGTCGCTTTCTTAATAAATTTTTCCGCCTAAATGCAAGGAAGATGTCATCTTTTTTATTTTTTTTTATTTTTTATATGGAGCTATTATATTTAACAATTTTGAAATTTAAATGTTTGAAGCTTCTACATTACAACTAAAACCTATCAATTCTTAGGAATTTTAAATATAACTAATAAATTACCTCCTACATACTTTTTTTTTTTTTTTTTTTTGAGGCCAAATAACCTCCTACGTTGAAATATATATTAGATGACGTTGAACCGATACTATTTCATAATTTTGATGAACATCTAAAATTTTAAAATTACTTTTTTTTTTTTGTACAAGGTGCATAATTCTTATATAGGTTTTATATAAACGTTCTAACCTAGTATATAAATATATTGCATTTTAGTCGATTACGCGTTGTTGAGTAGTTTAGAGTTAGTTGATGATAATAATTTCGACCAAATAAGAGTATTTTATACGGTATTTAACTCGTGATTCACGACTGGAATGTGATATAAATTGTTCCCATTTCCAATCTCTGACCAAACTAAAAAGTAGTCTAAATTTGGTAGAGCAAAAAATAAACAGAAATCATCATGAGTTTTGGGAAAGAAGCTCCACCATTGCCAATGTATGAACGTAAAGTTCTGAGACATGTGCCTACTATGGTCAGAAGACGATATGATCCAGATCTTAACAAGAAAATTGATGCAACTCAAGGTAATAAGTACTACTTATTCATTGTTGCAATTCAATTTCTAATCTTTATATAATATATATAGACTAGCTTAATATATATACGAGTAGTTATTCTTATTCTTCATAATTTCATGGGATGAGATCCTTTTTACTAATAAATTGGGAAACAAACTTTTATAGCATTTGAATCTTCCTTATATCAATCTAATTATTGGATGGTCATTGAAAGTTTGGATGATAAATACTTTCATATGTTTATGAAAAGTGATAGAGTAAGGAGATAGACATGTATCCATGGAGGTCAACGGGTATGAAAGGGTTAGGTAGGATTATGGAATAATGAGTATACGTTTTTCCAAGGTGCAATTATGAGGATAGTAAATTTAGGGTCCATGTTTATCACATGATTCCAAAGTCAATGATCAAGGTAAAGATGATGGTAGAGATGGGTACGGTGACTATTACATAATAAACAAAAAACTCAGGGGTATATGGTGAAAAAAACATGAAGAAGAATCTTGCTACGGAGTAAGACTTTTTTTTAACTATTTCGTTTTTTTAAGTTTAGTACGAAATAGACACTTCCGGAGTGTATAAGTATTGAAAAGAGCAAGGGGGATCGTCACCTCCAAACATCCTGACTTGGTAAGATTTAAAAAGAGTCTTGCCTATTACCAAACCGATAGTTGAAAATGATGGGGGAGATGGGTGATTATAGTAGTGCACAATACTACTATACACATGGTTAGAGTTGAGAGGAGAAATAAGACACCAAGGTTATAGCTAGAAAGAAAACAAAGTCAAATCAAAGGATAGTTCACTAGATGGAAGATCACCCTTTGAGTTTGATCATCCTTCTCAAATTTGTAGGCATGTATTCAAATCATAGCAATAGCGAAAGTGGAGGAGCCAAAGATGATGCAAATCTTGCAGGCTTTGTGAATGTTTGTGTTGAAGATAAATTTGTAGATGATGGACATGTTGATAATGATCAAGGTAAACAAAAAAAAAAAAGTTTACTAAGCTAGCTTTTCATTAACCCCAACAAAGTAGACTAACAGAAATATGTATCAAATGTAGGTTCATCATGTTTAGAAGATTGCGAAGACGAAGACTATGGAGCTGTAGATGGGAATACCCATGAAAACATTGTGGATGATAGTGTCAAAAATGAAGTACAGGGTATGGATGAATTCATGAATATCGTGAAGATTCTAATAACACTGTAAAATTAAGAACAGACCTATCTAATTTGAAGTACATATATTAATATATGCAGGCTTGCATATAGAAGATACTGAGAGTGAAGGTGATGGAACTATTGTGGATGTTGAAGATAAAATTGAGGATGATGGACATGCAAATTTTTTTGATGATCAAGGTATGCGAAAGATTTACATTGTATTGTTATAAGCTTCTCATTAATCCTACAAGGTAGATTAACAACTATTATCATCATTAGACAATCAAATTGTAGATGTGATCCTTGAAAATTATTTTGATGCTTAGAACTTAATCCTTTGTCTTTGTTAATTCCTTTGTTTTGCGCCTAGATAAATTGGGCAAAACATTTTCTACTTAGTAGACTTACTACCTTTATTAATTATTACCCACTGACTAGAACGCGAAATGGGACAATGGTTGATACAATGATACACCTAAGATCAATCAAACCATATTGTGAAGATTTTAATAATACCCTGAAAAGTATACTGTACTATATATACATGTAGGTTTGCTTGCAGAAGATGGTAAAAGCAAAGGTGATGGAACTAAAGCTGCAAATGTTGCAAGCTATTACGTGGATGTCAGCGTCCGAGATGAAGCACAAGACAATGAGCTTATTGGAAACTTTGACAATAAACAAGGTATGCAATTATGCAAATAAGAGCCCATCTAGAACTTTCAAAATGGATGTTCAATATAATTTCAAAGAGCTCATGATCATAATATATGTAGGTTCTCAAGTGGAAGAAGATTGCAAAAACAAAAGCGATGGATCTAAAGATGCAATTGTTGTTAGTGCCATAGATCAGCCCGTAGACATTGCTAATGAAAACTTTGACGATAAACAAGGTATGCAATATTGATGCAATTCTGATGAATTTGCATCTTTATAATAAACCCAAGTCTGTTCCAACTTCCTTAATTATATTAACTAGATTGATGCAATAATGTGGAATTTGTGAGTATCTTAACCATTTTTATAACTTCGTAACACTGCATTTACTTGTTTTACAAATCTGTTTTATGTTTTAATGGAGGTTTATGGTGGAACGAATAAAACAACAACAACAACAACCAAGCCTTAGTCCCAAAATGGTGGAACAAAAATGCAATTGTTTATTATTACTAAAAATTTCAAGCATATATGCAGATTTTATCTCAGGAGCATTGAAGAATACACTGGAACAGGATGGCTACGACTTACGTTGTCCTGTTTGCAAGCAGTATTTCACCCAAACAATGATTTTGAGACGAAGGGAAGACCGCCAACTATACAAAACAACATGCTTTTCCAGTTTAGATGCTTTATGTAAGATTTAAGGCCAGCCATCTAAGCCTTTATTCCCCCTTTGTTCCGCCTTTTTATAGTTTTATCATCACATCATCTAACTAAAAAAAACCTGACATTGACCTTTCAGTTTGTAGCAACCGGTGGTAGTTGTCTAAGGACAAACAGTCTCGTGATCTCATTTTGGTAAGTTTCCTAACTCTAAAATATATAAGTTTAATTAGTTTAAGGATATGCAAGTTTATTGCTCTCATCAGTAACTGATCTCTATGTATTTGTTGTTACGTAAATTAAGGCATTGGTGGAACAATGCGACGCAATGATCATGAGTGATATGCGAGCAAGCTCCATCAACATACATTGGCGGTGTTGTGGCGAACACAGTGTAGCTAACTACAGCTTAGAAAATGAAATCTCTCTTGTGACGATAGATGTGTAACGATTCGGGGTCTTGTAGGCTTTGCCAAACCCTCTTTGGTTCTCAACTTGGCCTTTCTTCATTGACTATGAACTATTGCTATAATACATAATAAATTAGATATAAACTATCAGCATACGTCTCGTGCATCACACATGTTTAACTAGTATTTTTTATCAATTATACCTTTATGCATGTGGTACATAACACATGATTTCTTTTGAGAGGATGAATTACGTAATGTGTTGTTGCTTAAACGTATTTTTATATATCGGAAAGTATTGAAAACCTAGATAGCCTTAAATAGGAGTGGGAAAAATTACTTCACAATGGTTCTAAAATATTACTTCGTATAATAAAATGTTTCTCAAGGTAAGAAAAAAAAATTTGAAAAAGTTTTAGCGGCTCCATCTTAACTTGGGTGCAATGCTTAAACAAAAATACAAAAATATGATAAAAATTTTGGGTCATATTTCAATGTGGCGCATCCAACTATCAGGGGCGGAGCCATGTAGGAACAAGGGGGGACGGTTGTCCTCCCATTTTTCCAAAAAAAAATTTAATTTATGTTAGCTTAAATAAATGTTGTAAATAAGAATAAATAACTTACATGTATACCTTATATAACAAAGACAACATTTGGTCTGGTGGTTGATGGGCTTGAGTAAAGCTTGTATTTCTCTTTGATCCTAGGTTCGATTCTTTACCCGATCATTTTTTTTGTTTCTTTTTGCTATTTTTGGACTTTATTTTAATTTCATTTTATAGTTTATACAAAGTGCTCCTATTTAACTTCTTTTTCTTGTTTTTGGATTTTGCCATTTTTTTTTTACTGGTTTTTAAATTTCATTATATAGTATGTAATTTATATATACAAAGTATTATAAGTCTTCAAACCTCTAATTACTCTCATTTAACTGTTTAATCAAGTATCGCCTTGTTGATAGTGATTACTAATGTGTTATTAAACTATTTGTAATGAACACATGTCTCCGTATTTTTTTATCTCTCTAATTATGTGTGCCTAAATTCTATTTTTTTTATAGCTTGTTTGGAACTAAGTTTCCAATTTTATTTTTAGTCAAAGAAAGTTTATTTATTTATTATTATTTTTTTTTTAAAATGTAACCCAAATCCCTTTACATCTACTATCAATTTGTGTAAATGCTTATCATTTGATAAATCATATTTATCGATTATTAAGGATTACATACCTTAAAATTGGGGTTTACCAGCATAAAAAAAAAAATTTGGTTAATAAATTTCTTAATATGCAATTAATTTTTTAACAACTCCTCTTTCACCATATAAGAATAATTGTCATATCTCATAAGCGATTTCAAATATATATTAAACAATTTATGTGATCAATTTCTTTTTTCTTATAATTATTGTCGATTATTAAACATCTAAAAATTGTCCCCCCGGATTACAAATCCTGGCTCCGCCACTGCCAACTATATTTTTTTGACATTGCCAAATAAACTTGCAACATCATGTTCTTCCATACCATTTTTTTTTAATGCAATACAAAATAAAAAAAAAACCTAAATTCTAAAAGGACGTAATTAGAGCGTAAGTTATTCGATTCACTCAAAACTTTAACGAGCACGTACGAGTTGAGCAAGATATTATCGTGTTTAGTGAGTAGGGAGTACGAGCCGAGTACATGCAAAAAAATTTCAACCCGAGTCGAGCACGCACCCTTCATCAGCTTGCGATCAACTCAATTGATTAGCATCCTAAATCATGCCAAAAAAAATGGAAAAAAAACAAAAATATAAAGTCGTGCCTACACGTAATTATTTAAAGGGAATCAAATCAATGATAATTAATTATAAGTGGGGCAATACTATCCCCTCAATATGCTCAGCCAAAAAGAATAAAATGAAGAAAAAAAATTAAAATATTCTCCATTAATACCACGGAGTTTCAATCATGGAGCTAAGGTGCCAAGCATAAATATGCATGCAATCTGCATATTTGACAATAAGGAATCCTTATTCCATCAAATCTATATATATATATATATATATATATATATATATATATATATATATATATATATATATATATATATATATATATATATATATATACCGAGATACGAGTATAACAAAATCGTTTGCTCGATTATGTCATTTTATGTTCAATGATATTGGATACTCCGTAATACGAAATATATTTAATCAAATATTACCTCTTTCGACAGAAATTGTCACATTATTAATTTAAATTATATTATCATTATGACAAGTAAATTTGAACGGGTGAAGTCATTGATTTTTATTTACTCATTATGTCCCAATCTATGGATTAGATGATCATTTTATTAACGACATAAAAATGACGATGCAGTCCTTCCTATGTACATTGAAAATTCTCTGACAGTCACTTCCTGCTGTGGCTTTTAAGCGGCCAATTGATTCCGAGCGGCAAAGTCGCCAAACATTCCTCCAGATCTTCGCCTGTAAATATCTTTGACTTTAAATATTTTTTTCATCGGTTATTTTACAAATAAATTAAGCAAATTTAAAATATGCCAACTCGACTCAAATTAGCAAGTAAGGCTCCTTAAAAGCGAGCCCCAAATAAAGATATGGGATAAACTTGGCTCGGTGGATATTCAATTCTTCATAGTTCATATAATCAACTAGGTGGTTGTTTGAACAGTTAGTGAATTACTTTATTGCATGTTAAAAGCCGTTGATTTTGGTGGAATCATGCAGTTTGATTGATTAGAAAGCTTGTTTTACTGTGAAGAAATGATTCATTGGCAATTTAATTTAGGTCCTAGTACATTGCTCCAGCTGATAATTGCATGTGAAATGAATAGACATGAATAGATCCAATATGCTTGATTGCTACTATGATCCTCAGTTGTAACTGTAGTGTGATGACCAAATAATGTAGGCAATGTAAAAGTGAGGAGTCTAATGTAAAAGTGAATCTTTATTTGTTGGACTAATGTACGCGATATAGCTAGCTATATAACCATAAACCACGAAGATATTATCCTAATTAAAGATATCAATGTCATGAATGTAACACAAATGCACACGTCCACATATCTACTTATTATCGTGATTTTTGAGTTAGACACTTTTCTAAAATACTCCGTAAGAATTCAGAAAATTATTCATTTGGTTAATGTAAAAGTAGTGAAACCAAGATACAAGCATCAACGAGTACATATATAGAGTAATAGATAGCTTTTGGACCAGCCTGTATTTTAAAACTAATCCATCGAGTTGAGTCAAAATAACATCTTTACCTTACTAATTTTAAGTAAGATAAATTACTCCACAAGTAATAACATGTAACATAATCACATCTAGATTACCTCTATCAAGACAATGTTGATAAAACTAATTATTTGAATAAATACAAATCACTAAATTACACCTATAATGAAACACATAATTTCCATATCCATAGTCACCATAAACATCAAACATGTTTTCAACTCTTTGTAAATGTCTTATACCATGATAAATAGATAATACTCCTTGAATTATATTTTTTTTTTTTGACAAAAATACTCCTTGAATAATTGAACTTTCATGAAAATCATAATTTTTTGAACACCCAAAAAAAAAAAAAAAAAAAAAAAAAAATCTAAAACATTTGATTAATGAAATTGATATTCAAGTAGTAGTGGAGCCAGGCAAGGTTTGGTGTTAACTTTGCCAGATTTTTTAATATATCTCTTTTTCGACTCTTTCTCTCTCCTTCCTTCTCTACTTTCTCCTTCCTTCTCTACTTTCTCTCTCTTCTTCCACCCTCCATCATTATCATCCTTCTTCTCTACACCCACCTGCTTCTCTTCTTCCCTTTCTCTCTCCTCTTCACCATTTCTTCTTTCCAGATCCCTTTTTCTTCTAAGGTTTCTATTTCTTCCCTATTTTAAAACCCCATTTAAATTTGACTACTTTTACCTTTTATTTTCCTTTAATTGTTTGTTTTTTGATTGAATTTTTTATTTTTGAGTTGACCCACTTTTGATTTTGGTGTTCAGATCAGCTTGATTGTTGCTGGAGGAGAGAGAAAATCAGGGAGAGGTTTTGAGGTTGTGGGTTTTGGTGATCGATAGGAGGAAGGAGTTTGTTAGATCTGTTAACAAGAGGGAGGAGGAAAGAAAACGATGTCGTTTACAGGAACTCAGCAGAAATGCAAGGTTTGTGATAAGACTGTTTATGTGATGGATCAGCTTTCTGCTGATGGTGTTGCTTATCATAAGTCTTGCTTCAAATGCAACCATTGCAAAAGCAGGCTTCAGGTAATCCCTTTTGATATTATTGCTATCTTAATTACTTAAGTTTGATTAGATAGTTTTTTTTTTTTTTTTTAATTTGATATTTATGGTATGAAGACTTAATTTTTGTTGCAATTTTCCAATTTTGTATTGTAATTGACAATGTGAGGAGTTGGAAATTTTTGCTCATGATAATTAAGCTTTTCTGGGTTTAAAAAATTTAATCTGTTGGTTTTGTTGTGCATGTGGGTAATTTGATTTTGTTGTTCAATGTTTATGTCATTGTAAAAGGGTATTTTTGTCATTTAGGTGTCAGCTAGCTAGGATGCTCAATTGGTCTTTTTGTGTTATTGTGCCTTCTTTGGACCAAAAGAGAAAGATATTTTGCTTCTGTATAGGTTGGTTTGGTGACTTGTTATTGAGCCATTTGAATGTAGTCTGTAATGTAGCTCATATGACTCAATTTAGTGTCTCAAATGTCTTTTTAGAACAGAAGGATCCGACACACGCACCTTTGTACGAATTATATAGGAGAAAGCAGACGGAGGAGTCAAGGATCAGGATATTCTGTTAATATTATTGTATTAGGACTTAAAAGAAGAATAAATGTTGTTGTATTAAGACTTTTAACATTAATGAATTTCATTGATGTGAATCTTAGCCATTTTTGTCAGGCTGGTAAGCTTGTTCTTCGACAAGTCTTTATATGTGTATGTTTATGTATGCTGTTAATGTCTTGGTATAGATGAAAGAGTCGTATACTGTATTAACAAATGGAAAGTGAAGAGTTTAGCATTGCTATTCGTGTATCGTGTAATTTGTCTTCTTGTTATTTGGGTTTGTACAGCAGTATATGGTTGAGGTGGTCAGTAATGATGGCTAATGTATCTTCAATCTTGCTTGCAGCTGCACAGTTTTTCTTCAATGGAGGGTGTTTTATACTGCAAGCCTCACTTTGAGCAATTGTTCAAAGAGTCAGGGAACTTCAACAAGAACTTTCAGTCTCGTATGATTTCTTTCAATTCCTTAAACCTGATATTAAGATCTTTATAGTTTTTGACCATTTAACTGAATAATGGAGTATTTTCTTGTACTATTTAACTGATCTGTATATGTTATTTCAACAGCGCCTACAAGACTACTAGCTGAAAAGTCACCTGATCTGAAGCCTGAGCTGGTAAAATTCTCCTCCATTGTCATGCTTCTTTGATGGGCAACCTACTTGTTTCTTCTCTGATATTCAATAATGCCATTTGGTCTCAGACAAGGTCGCCAAGCAAAGCCGCGAGCATGTTTTCAGGGACTCAAGAAAAATGTACAACTTGTTCCAAAACTGTTTATCCCATTGAAAAGGTATTGTCTTTGTTATTAAATTTGCACTTCAATTGGTCAGGTTTAGCAATTGTTTATTTATCTCAGAGTTTGATTGTGTAACACCCCCTCCTCCCTTCTCACCACAACTAAAGAGACTGGGAAGAAAAATAAAAGAGGAAGTCATCAATCTCATTTCACTGGGTTGTCATTGTTGTACTTTTTTGAAGTTTTGTA